TGAGCTGGATCCTAAATAGATAGTATAATCTTAATGAAGGGAGCATAGGGATAAATGTATTCCAAGCATATGGAAAAATGTGAGCAAAGACAAAAGTGGGAAAGCTTAGGATGGATTTGTGAAATAGTGAGAAGTTCAATTTGATTAGAGCATAAAGTACAAGAATGCAACAGTTTGAGATAAAACTGGAAAGTTGGTCTGGAGCTGGGTAATAGAAGGTCTTGAATGCTAGGGCAGAGTTTATACCAGGGGAGGAACCTGCAGCCTCAGAGGCCCTCTAGGTCATCAACTTCACAGAACAAAAAGGGGTCAGGAACCTGTGGCTTCAAGGCCATTGATAGACTTTATCCTAAAAATAATAAAAGCCACCGATTTTTTTTAAACATGGAATGAAGTGATTAGCTCTGTAACCTAAAAGGGTTAGCTATACATAGAATGCTTTAGGTATTGTGGTAGGTGTGTGTGTGTGTGTGTGTGTGTGTGTGTGATATTATAGCAGGGGAAAGGTTAGAGCCAAGGACCACCAGTTAGTAGTCTAGTAATAGAGTAGGGAAGATGTAAAAGCAGGGACATCACCTTGCCAACAAAGGTCTGTATGCTCAAAGCTATGGTTTTTCCAGTAGCGCTTTCTTGGAGAGGACTTTTGAGATTCCCTTGGACAGCAAGGAAGTCAAAGCATTCAATACTTAAAGAAATTAATTCAGGCTATTCACTAGAAGGTAAAATACTGAAGCTGAAGCTTAAATGTGTTGGACACATAATGAGAAGACAGGACTCATTGGAAAAGACCCTGGTGTTGGGAAAGATTGAAGGCAAAAGAAAAAGGGTACAGCAGAGGATGAGATGGAAAGATAGTAGCCTGGAAACAATGAACATGAACTTGGGCAGACTTCCAAAGTTAGGGAAGGACAGGAAGGTTATGAAGAATCAGACAAGACTGAATGGTTAAACAACAACAAAAAGAAAAAAAGAAATGAGGACACTCTTATTTGAGATTGGTGTTCAGTCATTTGTCAGCCATGTCTGACTCTTTGTGACCCCATTTGGAGGTTTTCTTGGCAAAGATACTGGAGTGGTTTGCCGTTTCCTTCTCCAGTTCATTTTACAGATGAGGAAACTGAGGCAAACAAGCTCAAGTGACTTGCCAAGGGTCATATAGCTAGTGTCTGAAGCCAGATTTGAATTCACGAAGATGAGTCTTCCTGATTCCAAGCCCAGTGTCCTATCTACCGCTCCACTTAGCTGCCTTTAATCAAGAGTAAAAAGGAAAGAATAGTATAAGAAGCAGATGTGGTTAAGAGACTAGTGTAAGGGACTGATAGTGGCTGCCAGATGGTGAGCCAGAAGCAGATTGGTCAGATGAGTTTTGGTGAATGACTAGAGGCAATATGTCTGGTCTGCAGAGGTTGGCATTACACGATGTTAAACATTTTCAGGGTATTTAGAATGATAAAAATGCCAAAGTATTGAAAGTGCAAGAGGGTGGTGTGGAAATTGTAGCTGGTGCTATTCCTTTAAATCTTGGCTGAGAAATCTAGAGAGATCACAACCTGAGTAAGCTGGAAGGAGGATTTAAACTGCAAAACAACACAAATGGACACAGCTGGAAACAATAATTACTCTTCTTGTTCATCTGCCAAATGTTAGTGTTCTAGATCCTTTGGTCCATGGTTTCTCTCCTACTCTTTTCGGTTTGTTCCTTCCCTGATTTTAACCCTAACTTTTTAAAAGCTTAAAGTGTGGTAAGACAGATAGGAGGTGATTCATTCACACCTAAGTATCCCCTCATTACAATTTATTTTAGACTACTTTGTTAAAGAGCTCATTCTTACTGGCTTCTGTGCAAATCCTTCTCCTTGGGATACACTGAGACAAGAATACCAGTTCTGGGGATTCTGCTCAAGAAGGGAGAGTTAGCTGAAACAGAGCAGCTCACCCACCTCTTACAACTCAGTAACGATCAAGAAATCTGAGAAACTATAGTAAGTGTATTTTGTCAGCCCAGTTCTGGACAAAGAGATAATCACAAAATGGCAGCAACTAGGAAAGGAATCTGGAATGGGAATGCAACCCATGGAAGTGCCTCCCACTAGCTCATATAAATTTAGCTTTCTATGTTTCTCTGGCCACTTGTGTTTAAACCTCAAAGTTCCTACTTATCTCTGGTTTTTAATCAGAAATGCCGGAAAATCTGCCAGTGGTATCAAATTCAAATAGAAACTGATTGCTAAAAGTAGAACTCGGATTTAGAAAACCACAAATTAACATTATGTTGTATTTTTACTTATTTTGTTAAACATTTATCAATTACATTTTAATCTGGTTCAGAAGGCCAAGTTTGACACCTCTGTTCTGTACCATTAAAGGTCCCCTTTTCTCCCTCTAAGATACAGTTTTGCAGTGTAAATTATTCTTAATTGTAAGCCTATCTCTTTTGCCAAGATATCTCATTTTTAGGAAATGCTGCTCAGTCTTGTGAGATTCTGACTGTAGTATCTTGTCACTTGAACTGCTTCTTTCTGGAGTCTTAGAATACTGTATCTTTGCCAAACAAGCTCTGGATTTTGGCTGTGACATTTCTGACATTTTCCCTTTGGGGCATCTTTCAGGGAGCAATTAATGCATTCTTTCTGTCTTTACCCTCTGGTTCTAATAGATCTGGGAAGTTTTCATGTATGGTTTCTTAAAATAGACTGTCCAGTCCCTTTTTTTTTCAATAGTGGTTTTCATGGAGTCAGTGATTCTTAAATGATTTCTCATTGACCTTTCAGCTGTTTTTGATCATCAAAAAGCTTACATTTTCCTCTATTTTAAAAATCTGATTTTATTCTAGTGTGTCTTGCTGTCTCAAGGAATCATTGACATCTGTTTGTCCTCTCCTGTTTTTAGGGAGTGTATTTCTAAAGTTAGTAAATTTGGGGGCAGCTAGGTGGCGCAGTAAATGGAGCTCTGGCTTTGGAGTCAGGAGGACCTAAGTTCAAATCCAGCCTCAGACCAAACACTTGACACTTACTAGCTGTGTGACCCTGGGCAAGTCACTTAACCCCAACTAAAAAAATAAACTTAATAAATTTTATTATTTTCATTCTAAGCTACTTATTTCTCTCTCCACTTCCTGTTTTTTTTTGTTTCATTTTATATTCTTTGATTCATTTCTTTTAAGTATTCATATAGTCCTTCAGAAAAATCATTTTTTTTGGATTGCTTGTACTTGCTGCTGAGTTACTTGTTCTTTCTTTTCGGGGATATTGAGATTTAAAATAATCTTTTTTTTTTCAGGTGTGGGATAGGCAATGTATTCTTATGCATACAAGAAAGGCCGAACAACAACAAAGACCTCCTCATGAACACACATTAAACGAACAGGAATCAATTACTTAATCAAAATAATCTATTTATACTGGTTTGTGTTTTCTTTGATTTATCCCTGTCTCTAACTTTAGCTCCTGAAGTAGGGTTTTGTTCCACTGTAAGTCTACTCCCCTAGGTGAGCTTTTAGGTACAGTAGTCTGTCGTGTTTGGTCTTAACCAAAGTCCTTGGGTTCCTGAGATAACCTCTGGCTCTTGGGTTGAGATCTAGATCTAAGATCTAGACCTAGATCTTTAAAGCTCGGGAGGATGGATCTTCAAGGCCCTCTCTGGCATCTCAGACCAAAGTATTAGAACTTCAGAGCCCCTAGGCCTCAAGTGTCCTGTTCCAAGCCACTTCCACACCACTGGTTAAGCCACTCCCACACTCGGGCTTTCTGATCACTGGATGTTTCTCTCTACCTTAGGGCTTTTTCAGGGGAGTCCTGACATAAAGCCTGACAGGCTGCATGTGTCAGTTATTGTTTACTTGTTTCTGACTCTTTGTAACCTAACCCCATTTGCGGTGATACTGGAGTGGTTTGCCATTTCCTTCTCCAGCTCACTTTACAGAGGAGGAAACTGAGGCAAACAGGGTTATGTGACTTGTCCAGGGTCAATAGCTAGCAAGCGTCTGAGGCCAAATTTGAACTCACGTCTTCCTGACTCCAGGCCCAGATGCTCCTAGCTGCCCACGTGTGTCTGTAGTTTGTGTCAAATACAAAACACTTTACAGAAATAAAGATGGGTGAAAATAAGTAGAGAAATATCGATTGCTCATAGCTGGGGTGGGCCAAAATCCCCCAAATGACAATACTACCCCAATTAATTTATATATTCAATGTCATACAAATCAAACTATTAAAGTATTATAGAGAGTTAGAAAAATAATAACATAAAGAAAAAGAGAAAAATAATTCATCTGGAGAAACAAAATTCTCCATTGAAAAAAGAAAAAAAAGTGGGAAGGAAAGGTGCCTAGCACGACCAGATTTCAAGCTACATTACAAAGTAATGATCACTAATGCTACTTGGTACTAGTTAAAAAACAGAAAAATGTATTGGTGGCACAGATTGCCACTGTGCCAAAGCCCACCAGAGGTTTTCTGTCTTCACTGTTACACGTGCCTCCTGCCATAACAAAATAAGTATCTACACGCATTTGGAGTGAAGTTGTGTGGTGTTTAAAAAGGCCGTGTTTTCAATGCTGCCGCCATTACTGACCATCCACCAGGGGGCTGCCTACAGTGCCTACCCCTTTGTCTTGGCTCTGAAAGCGAAGAGAGCGACCAGCATAAAGCTACAGAGGAAATACTATCTGACCTGGCATTTAAGAAGTCACCGGTGACTGAGGAAGGAGAAGTTTGAATGTAGTGCCCTCCATTACAGTGTGAGCTCCTTAAGGGCTAGGACAGTATTTGTGTCTTTCTTTGTATCCCCCAGCGCTTACTGCCTGGCACAAAGAGCAAGCAATTATTAAATGCTTGTTGACTGGGACGGGGGTAGATTTGGAGTACTGAGGAGTGCGGAGGAAATGTCCTTGACCTGAGCGCCGATCGTGTTGATTTAAACAAATGCTCCCACCCCGCTTCTTACGCCATTCTCTAGAATAATCTGACGCAGGGAAAGGAAAGGACTTTGAATAACACGCACGTTCACACTCCTCTCCACTACGCAGTCCTGAGTGCAGCTTACAAGCACAGGTTTCCTGGCTGTGTGGGGGCTGCAGCGAAGGATTCTTCGCACTAAGCTCGCCCGCAGTCATTCCCTTCCGGAGGTCATTCCCTTCCGGAGCTCTACGTGAGCAGCAGCCGCAGCGCCCTCCCCGCTTTGCCCCAGGGTTAGTCCTCGTCCTAAACACGGATCATTGCCTGACGAGTTGGGGTGGCCATCTCTGCGCTGGCGGGCATCAGCTGAAGACTCCTGCGACTCCTCCCAGCACTCTTCTACCCAGTGCCGGGCTGTGTCCGAGGAGGTGCAGTTGCGGGGCTGGTGGAAGAGGGTAAGTGAAGCCGCACGCACGGCTCCTCGGTCTCCAGCTTGCTATAGCTGTCTCTTCTTCCCTGCTTCGCGGCACGATCTCGGCAGTCAGTCTGCTTGCATGCAGACGGCCGCCTCTTCCAGGGAGACTCTGGAGGAGGTAAGCACCGGGACATTCGACTGCCCAGACCTGGAGCAAAGGGGCCAGAGGGCTAGGGACGGGAAGCAATGGGTCCCTAGGCCCTTGAGCCGCTGGCATTGACCCGCCAGCCCCGAGGTCACCACCCCTTCCTCGCGTTCTCACTTTCCCATCTTCTAGAGATGTTTTCTTTGCTACTCACAGAGGCTCATTTCCACCACAGTCTTCTGTCTGTATTCTCTCCTTCCCCGTCCCCTCTCCCTCTTATTCGCCATCTTTCTCTGTCTTTCTCCTTTTTTCCCTCTCCTTACTCTCTCCTATCCCTTTCTCTCTTTTTCCCTCCCTCTCCCTCTTACTCTCTCTTTCTTACTTGCCCAGGGTCACACAACTAGTAAGTGTCTGACGTCAAATTTGAACTCAAGAGTTCTTAACTCCAGGCCCGGTGCTCTCTCTCCACTGTGCCACCTAGCTGCCCCCACTTCAGATATTATTCATCCCCATTTTACAGATATAGAGACTGTGGTTCAGAGGGATTGTGTCTTGCCCAGAGTCTTACCATTCCAATAGTATTTTCTCTGGTATGTGGGGACAGGTTAAGACGAGATCAAAGTTAAGACACTTGATTTCTGCCCTGCTTTAACTGTGGTTGGTTGATTTTTTTTTTCCTTTTGAGCCTGATTTTGTGTAAACTCAGGCTCTTCACTAAAATTCTGCTTGTTCAGTACCTGGCTCTTAGTAATTCTCAAAAGTCGTTTTTGAATTGCATCCGACTCTTTTAGACTACTAATAATGGTATTGCTGGGTCAAAGGGTATACACAGTTTTGTAACTCTTTGGACATAATTCCAAATTGCTCTCCAGACTGGTTGGATCATTTCACAACTCCACTAACAATATGTCGTTAGTGTCCCAGTTTTTCTATGTTCCCTCCAAAATTTATCATTTTCCTCTTCTATTATTTTAGCCAATGTGATAGGTATGAGATGGTACCTCAGAGTTGTTTTAATTTGCATTTCTCTAATAAATAGTGATTTAGAGAATTTTTTCCTTTTTTTAATATATAAATTTATTTCTTTTTAGTTTTCAACATTCACTTCCACAAGTTTTTGAGTTCCAAATTTTCACCCCATCTCACCCCTCCTCCCACCCCAAGATGCTTGCATTCTGAATATCCCTTCCCTTAGTCTGTCCTCTCTTCTATCTCTCCCCCCTTCTCTTATCCCCTTCCCCTTCTATTTTCCTGTAGGGCAGGATAGACTTCTGTACCCCATTTCCTGTATTTCTTATTTCCCAGTAGCATGTGAAAACATTTTTTAAACATGTTTTTAAAACTTTAGGTTTCAAATTTTCTCTCTTCCTTCCTCCCCACCCACCCTCATTGAAAAGGCAAACAACTCAATATAGGTTGTACATGTGCAGTTATGCAAAACAGGTCCATAGTAGACATGTTGTGAAAAACTAACTCTATTTGCCTTAATCCTATCCTGCCCTCCCATTTATTCTATTCTTTCTTTGACCCTGTCCCTCCTCAGAAGTATTTCTTCTGATTACCCCTTTCCCAATCTCCCTCTCTCTATCATCCCCCTGCTCTCTTGTCCCTCTCTCCCCTATTTTCCTGTAGGGTAAGACAGATTTCCATACCAATTGAATGTGTATGTTATTCCTCCTTAAGCCAAATCCTATGAGAATAAGATTCTCATTCCCTCTCACCTTCCCCATTTCCCCTCCACTGTAAGAGACTTTTCTTTTCTGTTTTTTTTTGTGAGTAATTAACCCCATTCTACCTCCCTTTTTCTTCTCCGAGTATAATCCTCTCTCATCCCTTAATTTTATTCTCCAGATATGACCCCTTAATCTTCAACTCACCCTGTGCCCTCTATCTATCTATATATACATACATATAATTTTTTTCCTCCAACTACCCTAATACTGACAAAGGTCTCATGAGTTATAAATATCATCTTTCCATGCAGGAATGTAAACAGTTCAATCTTAATAAGTCTCTTATGATTTCTCTTTCCTGTTTACCTCTTCATGTTCCACTTGAGTCCTGTATTTGAAAGTCAAATTTTCTATTCAGCTCTGGTCTTTTCATCAAGAATGCTTGAAAGTCCTCTATTTCACTGAATGACCATTTTTTCCCCTGAAGGATTATACTCAGTTTTGCTGGGTAGGTGATTCTTGGTTGTAATCCTATCTCCTTTGCCCTCCAGAATATTATATTCCATGCCCTGCGGTCCTTTAATGTAGAAGCTGCTAAATCTTGTGTTATCCTGATTGTGTTTCCACAGTACTTGAATTGTTTCCTTCTGGCAGCTTGTAATATTTTCTCCTTGACCTGGGAACTCTGGAATTTGGCTACAATATTCCTAGGAGTTTTCCTTTGGGATCTCTTTCAGGAGGAGATCTGTGGATTCTTTCAATTTCTTTTGCCTCTGGTTCTAAAATATCAGGGCAGTTTTCCTTGATAATTTCTTGAAAGATGATGTCTAGGCTCTTTTTTTGATCATGGCTTTCAGATAGTTCAATAGTTTTTAAATTCTCTCTGTTGGATCTATTTTCCAGGTCAGTTGTTTTTCCAATGAGATATTTCACATTGTTTTCTAATTTTTCATTCTTTTGGATTTGTTTTACAGTGTCTTGATTTCTCATAAAGTCACTGTCTTCCAATTGCTCTATTCTAATTTTTAAGGAAGTATTTTCTTCAGTAATCTTTTGGACTTCCTTTTCCATTTGGCCAATTTTTCTTTTTAGGGCATTTTTCTCCTCATTGGCTTTTTGGACCTCTTTTGCCATTTGGGTTAGGCTATTTTTTAAGGTGTTATTTTCTTCAGTATTTTTTTGGGTCTCCTTTAGCAAGCTGTTGACTTGTTTTTTGATTTTCTTGCATCACTCTCATTTCTCTTCCCAGTTTTTCCTCCTTCCCTTACTTGCTTTTCAAAATCCCTTTTGAGCTCTTCCAAGGCCTGGGACTGATTCATATTTTTCTTGGAGGCTTTGGATGTAGGAGCTTTGATTTTGTTGTCTTCTTCTGGTTGTATATTTTGATGTTCTTTTTCACCAAAGTAAGATAATACAGTCTGACTCATTTTGCTCTGCTTGCTCTGATCCTGGCCAGTTAACTTGAATTTTAAACTTTTTTGTTAAGGTAAGAGTCGGCTTCCAATGTGGAGAATGTACTGTCCCAAGCTTCAGAGGTTTGTACAGCTGTTTTCAGAGATACTTGTAGGGACCTGTAAATTTTCAGTTCTTCCAAGGTGGTATGATAAGGGGTGAGGTGTTTACTACTTTCCTGGCCTGTGACCCCAAGTACTCCTTTCTGTCCTGTAACTGTGAGGAGGGGTTCCCCTCCATAGCCACTACAAGCTCTACCACACCAGTGCTCCTCCTCACCCCAGCACCGCAGCCCAGAACTGTGACCCAGATCCAAACAGGGGCAAAGCAAGAGATTCCTGCCTCAGCACTAGCAAAGAAATCCCTGCAATCCCTCTCTGATCAGCCACTGGATTCCCCCTCAATCTATGGGCCGGAAGCTCGGGAAGCAGCTATCCCCCCCAGGGCCATGCTGTTGGGGAATGGAGCTGAGACCCCACCTTCCTGTCTCAGCACTGCAGAAACAGATTTTTTCCCACTGACCTTCTAAGTTGTCTTTGGCATTCATGGATTGAGGAGTCTGGAAACCTCCACAGCTGCCTGAGATTCAGTCCTCTGAGGCCTGCTCCAGGTTCGCTGTGGCCTGCGCGCCCAAGCCACGCTGCGCTCCCAGCCTGGCGCAATATGCCTTTCCGATCATCCATCCAGGTTGTCTTGAGCTGGAAATTTGTTTCACTCTGTCTTTTTGTGGGTTCTGCTGCTTTAGAATTTGTTTAGAGCCCTTTTTTATGAGTATTTGGAAGGGTTTGGGGGAGAGCTCAAGCAAGTCACTGCTCTCACTCCTCCATCTTGGCTCCACCCCTGATTTAGAGAATTTTTCATGTATGGCTTTGATTTCTTTTGAAAACTGCTTGTTCATATCTTTTAGCAATTTATCAATTAAGGAATGACTCATTCTTATGAATTTGACTTAGTTCTCTATATATTTTTCATTGAGGCCTTTATCTGAGAAACTGGCTATAAATTTCCCCCCCAATTTTCTGCTTTCCTTCTAATCTTGGATGCATAGGTTTATTTGTACAAAACCTTTTTAATTTCATGTAATCAAAATTATCTATTTTATATTCCACAGTGCTCTCTATCTTTTATTTATTCATAAATTTTTCTCTTATCCATAAATCTGATGGGTAATATGTTCCATGCTCTTCTAATTTACTTAGGGGTGTATGGAATGTTTAGGGAAGACTAGCACCTCTTGTGTGAGAGCTTGCTGAGCCCTTTTCAGGGCTACTCATCCACCTTTGGTGTCCACCTTCACCCAACTCTCATGTGTGGCTCCAAGAAGCTGTAGTGGCCACATGCAGTGAACTGTTTCAGCAGGCGGGCTAAACCAGGTTGAGGATAACCCAACACACCTCGAACTGGCAAGTTACAGGGATGTCTACCTCAAGCATGTGAAAACTTTCCCCATGGAATGGGCAGGTGAGAACAATTTGTTCCAATGGACACGAAGGTGACAGAAGCAGGCAGACAGAAGAAGGAGTGCTGAGAGCTTAGTCAGTCATTGAAGACACCAAAGTCATCCCCTGTACCCCAGACCAATGCCAGTCATTTTGACTTTTTTCTTGCCCCAAGACTTTGATGATTCTGGAAAGAGGGAGTGAGGCTGACAACTTTGTGCAACTCTGCCTCACTTAAACCTAATTCACTTGAAAGTCAAGACACCCCCCCCCCATGATGTGATTGGTCCTCTTTGAAAATGAAGGATGAACAACAACAACAATTGACTTATGATATCTCCCTTTATGACTAGGTCCTATGTCCATTTTGTTCCTTATCTTGGTAAATGATACATTGATGTATACCTAGTTTCTGCCAGGCTGCTTTCTAGTTTTCCCAGCAATTTTTACCAAATAGTGAATTCTTATCCCAAAAGCTTAGATCTTTGTGTTTATCAAACACAAGGTTACTGTAATATTTACTACTGTAATATTGTCTATCTACTCTATTCCACTGATCCACCATTCTATTTCTTAGTCAGTAGTGGATAGTTTTGATAATTACCTCCTTCATTTACATTTTTATTAATTCCTTTGATATTCTTGACCTATTGTTCTTCCAAATGATTTTTGTTATTATTTTTTCTAGCTCAAAAAATAATTTTTTGGTAGTTTAATTGGGATGGAACAGAATAAGTAGATTGGTTTAGGTTTAGAATTGTCATATTTATTATATTGTCTTGGCCCACCCATGAACAATTAACGTTTCTCCAGTTATTTAAATCTGACTTTATTTGTGTAAAAAGTATTTTGTAATTATGCTTATATAGTTCCTAGGTTTGTCATGGCTGGTATACTGTCAGGTATTTTATATTGTCTCAGTTATTTTAAATGAAATCTCTCTTGCTATCTCTTCTTGCAGGGCTTTGTTGCTGACATATAGAAATGCTGATGATATATATGGGTTTACTTTATATCCTGTTACAATACTAAAATAATTAATTGTTTCAACTAGTTTTTTAGTTAAATCTCTAGGATCTTCTAAATATTCTATCATATCATCTGCAAAAAGAGATAATTTTAGGGGCAGCTAGGTGGTGCAGTGGATAGAGCACCAGCCCTGAAGTCAAGAGGACCTGAGTTTAAATGCGGCCTCAGACCAACCACTTGGCACTTACTAGCTGTGTGACCCAGGGCAAGTCATTTAACCCCAATTCCCTTAAAAAAAAAAAGAGAGAGAATTTTATTTCCTTGTTGCCCATTCTGATTCCTTCAATTTATTTTTCTTCTTTTATTGCTATTGCTAGCATTTCTAGTACAGTATTGAACAATAATGGTGATAATGGGCATCCTTGTTTCACTCCTGATCTTAGAAATCAGTCTGTAAACTGTCACATCCTTGAATGTTTGTAGGCAGCTTCCAGCCGTCAGTTTTCCAGCATTCCCTCTGTACTCCAGTACAGCTATGAGAGCCAGTCAAGAAGACTTTGAAAGGGCAAAGGGGCAAGTGAAACTCTTGAAGGAGGATCCAGGAAATGAAGTGAAACTAAAACTCTATGCGCTGTTTAAACAGGTAAACGAAGCATGTTTGTATTGGGTGGGAGATGATTGAAGGTAGTCTTTTTTTTTCCCTAAATAAACTTTTTAAAATTTAATATTTTATTTTCCCCAATTACATATAAAAATAATTTTTAATGTCCATTTCTTAAAACTTTGAATTCCAAATTCTCTCCCTCCCTCCCTCCCATCCCCCCCTCATTGAGAAGGCAATTTGACATAGCTTATACATGTATAGTCATGTAAAACTTATTTCCATATTAGTTATGATGTGAAGGAAACACTGACCAAAAAAAAAAAATCCCAAAGAAAATAAAGTAAAAAAAAAAAGTATTATTGAAGGTCATCTTGAGGTCATCAAATGTAAGCGGTCAAGTTAACAAACATTTATGAAGTGCTTATTATGCACCATCTCTCCAGTCCAGGCAGTTTCTCTTGTTGTCTCCCATTCCTGGAATGCTCTCCTTTCTCCTCTCTACCTCCTAGCTTCCTTCAAGCTCCAGCTAAAATCCCACCTTCTACAGGAAACCTTTCCCAACCTCTCTTAATTCTAGTGCCTTCTCTCTGTTGATTATTATTTCCTATTTATCCTCTGTATATAGCTTGTTCACTGAATGGGTGTTGCCTCAGACAAACTGAGACCCGGGAAAGACTTTAACTTAAAAAGGCTAAGGTCTCCCACTGCATCTGGGGTTATCTCCAGTTTTCTTGACCTATATCTTACCACTGGACTCTGATGACCCTGGAGGAAAGAGTGAGGCTGGTGACTTTGCAGAGTCCTGCCTCACTTTGCAGATACTTAATAAATGCTTATTGACTGCCTGACTGCTAGGTGCTGTGTTATAAGTATCCAAAAAAAAAAAAAAGCAAAAACCTAGTCCCTCCCTTTAAGGATCTCAAAGTCTAATGGGGGAGAGTGTCATCTACTTTCCTAAAATTTGATGTACAGTTTAATTTACTTTCCTCCTATAATGAAGAATATAGTTTGCTTATAAAATATATCTTTTAAATGGTAAAATGGTAAAAAAAAATTACCTTGGAATATTTTCGTATGTGACCAATTATAATAAATTATTATTTATGGATTAATTATCCCTAAATTGATTGATTATGCGTTGTATTGACTCATCCAAATCCTTTGTTTTTCTCTTGTTTTCCCTCTCAGAAAAACATGATGATGAGCAGCAAGAGGGCTAGATTCTTATCCCACCTCTGATACTTGGGGCTGTGAGACCTTTAGATAAGACAATTCACTCTCTGGACCCCAGTTTCCTCACTATACCATAGAGATGGTCATATTTGCTCTACTTGCCTCACAAGGGTGGTAGCAGGGAAAATATTTTGTGAACTTTAAGATGCTCCATAAATATTAATTCATTTTAAAGGATTTATTTTAGCTCCATGGTCAGAAAGTAGTCCCTGGGGGCAGCTAGGTGGCACAGTAGATAGAGCACCAGCCCTGGAGTCAGGAGGACCTGAGTTCCAGTCTGGCCTCAGACACATGATATTCACTAGCTGTGTGATCCTGGGCAAGTCACTTAAACCCCAGTTGCCTCACCAAAAAAAAAGAAAGTTGTCCTTGACAAGGAGGAAAGGTGAATTTCAGACTGGTCTAGTTTAAGGTTAAACTGGGAAACATCTGGGAGGCACAGTGATAGACTCCCAGGACTTCTTGAGTTCATTTCCAACCTCTGAAACTTACTTGCTGTGTGACCCTGGGCAAGTCACTTAAGCCTGTTTGCCTCAGTTTCCTCATCTGTAAAATGATCTGGAGAAGGAAACCATTCCAGTATCTTTGCCAAGAAAACTCCAAATGGGGTCATGAAGACAGAACTGAAAAACAATCAAACAACAACAGAAGCTTAAGGTTAACTGCACATTGTTCTCAGCCATAAGTCACCATCACCCTCCACCTTCTTCCTTTCTTTTCTCCAAGACTCCCAAACAATGCTAGAATAAGTCATGAAACCACGTCGACTTTAAAGTGACCTAGCTTGAGTTTAGCTTCCACTGCCACCCTTTTATTCATCTAGATTTACCTCCTGTCACATTTCCCTCAGCAATTGTTCCAAACCTTCAGGCCCCCAATATTGCCTCCACCTTGCAGTATTTCTGCAGATAAGCTCACCTTTTTTAATTTAGAGATTAATTTAGAAAACTGATCCTCCTAAATGGTCTCCTGCCTCAGTCTCTCCTTTCTCCATACATCCCTCACATAGCTACCAAAATCATCTTTCCAAACATATCATTCCCCCATTCAAACCTTCAGCTGCTCCCTGTTCCCTCTTGGATAAACCCATCTCCTTAGCCTGATATTTAAGGACCCCCACTATCTGGCCCCAGCCTACCCTTCCAGCTTTATTTCATATTACTCCCCTTCACATTCTTTGTGTTAAAACCAAACTGGACTGCTAGTCATTTCCCCCAACTAGCCATTAAGCTCTGAACTTTATGCAACAGTCATGTAAGCTATTTCCTCATAATCCCACCTCTTCCTTTCAGATTCCTCTGACACTTACTAGCTATATGATTTTGGGGAAATCACTTAACCTCTCCATCAGCCTCAGTTTCCTCATTTGTGAAATGGGGGTAATAATAGCACCTTATTTCATAGTGTTGATTTGAGACTCAGAATGCAATAATAACAAGTAGAACACTTTGCGAACTTTAAAATGCTGTGTAAATGTTAGATATTAGAAAAGGGAGAAGAATACACATTTATATAGTGCCTACTGTGTGCCAGGTACTGTGCTAAGAATTTCATAAACATCTCATTTTATCCTCACAATGCTGCAAGGAGGTGCTGTTATTATCCCCATTTGAAGAAACTGAGGTAAGTGTCTAAGGACGAATTTGAACTAGAGTTCACTTCATTACACCTCTTAGCTGTCTCTAATTTTATCGTTATTTCTCCATGTCCCCCAAATTTGCCTACTTCATAGCCTTGATATGTGGGACCCCCACATGTACTTGTAATTGAGGGCTAATGTTGAATCCTTCCTGCTTTTTTTTACAGGCTACTGAGGGGCCTTGTACCTCACCAAAGCCAGGTATGCTTGACTTTGTCAGCAAGGCAAAATGGGATGCGTGGAATGCTCTTGGCAGCTTGCCAAAGGTGAGTCTCATAATCAATGCTACCGTCCATCCTTTTCCTTCCATACTAAATGAGAGTTTCTTGGTGATGTTTGCAGTTCAAACTGCCTGAGCTCAATCTGCCCAGTTCTTCAACCAAGGTCTCCTTATCTGCTGCTTTACACGATACATTCCTTCCTTAACAGAATTGTTATTTCTCCTAAACTGTCAGCCAGATTTGCAGCATATGCAGCCAGCTGATTTTATTTGTTTGTCATCTTCATTCTAGGACACTGCCAGGCAGAATTATGTGGATTTAGTATCAAGTCTGGTTTCCTCTCAGTCCTTAAGCCAAGAAAAGACTTCTTCTAATGATAAAAAATCTGAATATGAAAACTTGGTAGTCACCAGGGAAGGCAATATTACAAAGATCATGTTAAACCGCCCCACCAAGAAAAATTCTATTAATGTTAAGGTAAGGAGACTAATTATACTTAATAGTATTTTTGTTGTTCAGTCATTTCAGTCACATCTGACTCTTTGCGATCCCATTTGGGGTTTTCTTGGCAAAGGTACTGAATGATTTGCTGTTTCTTTTTCCAGCTCATTTTACAGATGAGGAATCTGAAGCGAATAGGGTTAAGTGACATGTCCAGGGTCACAAAGCTAGTAAGCACTTTGCCTTTTTTTCAGTGCTTTTCATTTAAATACTCTGGACTTTCAAAATAATTCTTGTTTTTGAGATAATCCCTTATTGTGATCTGTAAAGTACCGTTCCCGGAGGAGAGAAATCTTCACTTCCTCTACAAATAGACTTCTTACAAACAGAGAAGCAGTCACTAAAGATCTGAGTCAGTATTTAGAACTTGTGAACTCCCAAAAGATTTGGACTGTTAACTTTTCTTTATAATGAATTGAATGACATGGTACAGTGGGAAGTATGCTGTTGCCTGAATCAGAGGACCTGGGTCTCAGATCCTGCCTCTGACTCTACTAGCATTTGGGCAGGTCACTTAACTCCTCTGGACCTCAGTCCCCTTACTCATAAAATGAGAGTGTTGGACCAGAGGGCCTCTTCGTCCCTTCTAACTCTGCATCTTGTGACCTGCCAGGGAGAAGAAAGAGGCTCTGAGGCCTCTAAGATACCCTTTCAAGTAAAGTAGAGCATAAGAGTGGACTACATACTAATTAGTGTTTCCACTGAATTGCCAGCCAGAATTGAACTGCTTCCTGAAGCTATCTATCCTTCATCTTTCATTTTCCCATCATTGAATTATACAAATACTGAAAAAATCTCCATAGCATAGGGAATTCCTAGTGTGGGATCTCCTTCTACCAATAAAGATTGCAACCAGTCTTTGATTTGATAGATAAGTCCTAGGAAGGTGCCTCAGGTGCATAGTAACCACCACAGGACCCCACAGGTAGTAAGTACTCAAAGTAGTATTTGAACTCAAGGCTTCCTGACACCAAACCCACCACTCTATCCGCTCTGCCTCTCTGCCTCTGCATCGTTGAATTGTCCACCCCTAATTTAAAAAATAGATTGAAAAGTTACTTGTCATCAATACTACACACTAGTATGAAACATGGATACAAACCTTGTCCATTGAATTCATACTCTACCTTATAGTGAACACATGACACTAATAAGAGAATACTAGTGAAGAAGGTCTGGATAACATCATTTGTTTAAAGTTCTTGATTCTCAACACGTTATCTCTGTTTTCCCCCACACTGCTGCGTGTAACTCCGCTGGTCCTCATTTCCCCATCCCATGAAATAGTGGTGTCAAACTCAGATAAAAACAGGGGCCCTAAATCCTACAGAAGGATCCTTACAGGCCGCACATTGACTTAGAAAACCACATGTTAACATTTTCTACGTTGTGTTTATTCTTATTTATTTTGTTAATATTTTCCAGTTACATTTTAATCTGGTTTGGGCCACATTTGGAAGTGTGAGGGGCCACAGGTCATGTGTTTGACACCTCTGCTGTGGAACGTATTTTGATCTTTGACCACATATTACATGTCACTCATATTATTTGTGCAGACAGCATTATATAACAGAAAGAGAACTGAACTTGAAACTACAGGACTTTTGAGCTCATTTGCTATCCATGTGACCTTTGACAATATCTAGGTTTCAGTTTCCTCGTTTATGAAATGAAGGGTTTGGGCAAGATGCCCCCTGAGGTCTTCTTCTTTCAGCACTGGGCCTCTCTAGTATCTGTCCTCTGAATCATTCTTCTGTTAAGGCATATATCAACATCAGTGATGTCAATAAACTAGGATGTTGCTGTTGAGTCATTTCAATCACTCTTTGTGAGCCCATTTGGGCTTTTCTTGGCAAAAATAGTGGAGTGGTTTGCCATTTTCTTCTCTAGCTCGTGAGGAAACTGAGGCAAATAGGGTTAAGTGACTCACATAGCTAGTTAGTTTCTGAGGCTGGCTTTGATGTCCTAACTCCAGGGCCAGCATTTTTATGCATTGCACCATCTAGCTGCTGAACTAAGAGAGTTTAGCCCTCCTACAGGCTAGAGACCAACTTTCCTTTGTGGGACATGCTGCCTCACCAGCATGGCTAACAGATAGGCCTTTAATAAAGCCATTGGTTGATGAGTTTTCTTCTCAACATTAATTCTTCCCTTCTATCTCCCACTCCTATAGACATATAATGAAATTATGCAAGCCCTCGAAGCTGCGGGCAAGGATGACTCGTTCCTAACCGTTATCACAGGTATTCTTTTTTGTGGGACATCTTGCTCCTGTATTTGGATAGATCCCTAATGTGGGTGGGAGGTTGGATTAAATGTTCTCAAGGGTCTTTTCCAAGGTTCTGTGTAAGATTCTATGATTCTAGTCCACTGATGCTAGGGAAATCATTTTCTTTCCACGTATAGTGTTGCTGTTCTCTATATTATGGCTTTCAGACTTGATCAGCTGTAGTGTATATAAATGGAAAATGGAAAATGAAGACAAGAATGTTTCCTCCTCACTAAGAAATCAGCACCTGTAAACCTGGATAAATGGGCTGCTATTTGTGTACTTATGGTCCTAGAGAAGTTACTTGACCATTTCTCTGCTTCATTCCTCCAGCCTTAAAGTGAAAATACAGATGATGGGCCCTGCCTGGGTTTGAGGATATGTGGGCAACAGATAGGAAAGCCTAACCAATTTCAAAATATCTTTTAAGCTATTTACCTTCCTTTATCCCTACTTTGTCAGATAAGCATAATTCTTCATACAACCTAGTGATATAATGATGAGGCATTTAGTTATAGGTAGATTCAAGTCACTTAAAGATTAATGCTTCATCAGCATTAGTGCCTTGGATGGTATTTGTTAGTTCTGTTGGTTGGGCCTTGAGCCCAGGGCTGATTTCTTTAAGATTCTGTGCATCAGCCTATTAATTTTAACAATTTATTAGGCTACTCTTCAGGATATAGTGTATTGAAATGTCTAATTGCAGAAATAATTGAGTTTTATGCATAAATGGGTATTAGTGATGGCATGATATCTATTTTTACTCAGTAATAACTACTCATATTTATGTAGTAATTCAAGGTTATTGAGTATTTTTCTTGCCATAAGTATTGTTCCTGCTTTACAGATGAGAAAATTGAACCTCAGAAAGGTTAAGGAACTGTTCCAGGGTGGCACAGTAAGTTTTAGCAATCAGGATTTGCACTCTGGTCTCCATACTTCCTTGATGCGTCATACCATAGTAGATAACTTCATGAGTTTCTGTTGCAAAAAAAAAAAAAGAAAGTTAATTTCAGCCTGCTGATGATTAAAAGGTTTTGAAAGATCCCTTAAAATGTTTTTTCAGGAACTGAAAGAAAAGCTCAGATTTTGAAGATATAGACCATCCACTGCATCTGTTGATAAAATAAATACTATCTACTCTGTTGAATAGGCCATGCTGGATGCCCAAGGAGATAAAAAGGGAATGAGCCCCCCAAGAAGCTTTCAGTTTAGTGGAAGATGAGACATAAACACAGATAACATAACATAATATTTATATATTACATATAAATATAAATCATATAACAATATAAAATATAATAATGAATAATATATTCATATAACTAAATACACTATTTAATAAATGCCATAAGAATGGATCTCTGGGGAAAGGAGGGAGAGGGATATAGGGGGAAATGTAGTTAAGATAGATACCAATAAAGATACCAATAAAAATGTATTTCAAAACAAAACGCATAGGTGTTAGACAAGCTAGAGATCTCTGTTGGAAGGGGGAGAGGTCTTTGAGCCAGGCCTTGAGAGATGGGAAAGATTTAGACAGGAGGAGCCCTGGGAAAGCAGCCCACGGTAAGCAGAAGGAGCATAGGAGAAAAGTACAAAAAGGCCCAGGCCATGTTTAGGGCATGGCTGGTGTGTTCGATGTGCTGAGGATAGATAGTATTGGGAGATAAGGCTAGAAAGTGAAGATGGGATGAGATTATGGTACTATCAAGCTCAGGAGTCTGGGCTATATTTAACAGGCAGTGGAGAACCAGTAAAGGTGTGTAAGCGACACTATAAGATATTTAGTTAGAAAAAATCATCTGGCAGATGTGTACAGGGTGAATAGGCAGGCAATGAGGTAGAAGGCTGTTGTTGCCTTAGGTTAAATATGCTTTAATATGAACCTGAATTCAAGTGATAGCTTGAAAGGAAAGGAGGGGAGGGAGGAGAGAGACAATTACAAAGGAGGAATTGGCAGGACTTGGTAACTATTTGGCTAGGGGAAACAAGGGAAAGGGAAAAGTCAAAAAATGACTAAAGTATTGAACCTAGATAGCTAAAAGAATGGAGGTCCCATTGACAGAAGCATATGAAGTAGGTTTTCTTTGGGAATATGGAGGGAAGAGGTAGTGATAGGAGGAAAGATGATGAGGTCAGTTTTAGGTCTTTTGTTTTTGAGATGCTAAACTGAAATTCAGAAGAGAGGACTGGCTAAAGACAGATTTGAAAATCATGCATGTGGTAGTAGTACTAGAAGTTATGGGAGTGAATTGGGTCACTGAGAGAGTAGAAAGAGGAAAAAAAACTAAAGATGGATTTTCAGAAATGTCTGCATTTAAGAGCAAGGCAAAGGGAAAAGATCTATCAAAGAAAACAAAGAAAGTCAATGAGGTTAGGAGATCTAAAATCATGCAGTGTCATAGAAAAAATAGGCAAAGATTTTGGAGAAGAGGGTGATCAACAATATCTAGTACTATAAAGGTTAATTTCTCTTTTGTGTATTACCACTTTAGTTTGCGTGGTATAATAGAACATAGTATGATAGGCCCACTTTTATTTTTGTTGTGGTTTTGGTTTTTTTTTTTTTTGGCTAGGCAGTGGGGTTAAGTGACTTGCCCAGGGTCACACAGCTGTTAAGAGTTATGTATCTGAGGCCGGATTTGAACTCAGGTCCTCCTGAATCCAGGGCCGGTGCTCTATCCACTGCACCACCTAGCTGCCCCCTTCTCCCACTTTTAAAATCTATTAGAACAAGTTGTGTTATATGATTGTGATGGAATACTATTATGCTATAAGAAACGATGAGCAAAACCTAGAAAGACACGCATGAACTGATACAGAGTGAAATGAGCAGAACCAGGAGAACATTGTACATAATAACTACAGTATTGTACAATGATCCACTACGAATGACTTAGCTATTCTCAGCAATACGATGATCCAAGACAATTCTGAAGGACTTATGAAAAATGTCATCTACCTCCAGAGAAAGAACTGATGAAGTCTGAATGCAGATGAAAGCATACTTTTTTTTTTACTTTATTTTTCTTGGGTTGTTTTGTTTTATTTTTTGATCTGTGTTTTCTTTCACAACATGACTAATATGAAAATGTTTTGTATGACTGTTTATGTATAACCTATATAAAATTGCTTGCCTTCTAAATGAGGGGGTAGGGAAGGGAGAGAGAGAATTTGGAACTCAAGATTTCCAAAAACAAAGGTTAAAAATTGCTTTTATATGCAACCCAAAAAAGGTATAATCTATTAGAAGAACTCATAACTTTAAATAATGATAATCATGGTTTGAGGTTTTGTCCAGAGTGAAGAGAGATCCTTGTACAAATACTGATTTAAAATGAATTGCTAATCAAAGAAGAGGCTGTTAAACTTTGGGAGTGGTCCTTAGAGTGGGAGAACCAAGTAATATTTTCTCCAACTAACCCTCTTGGCTTCTAGATATGCTTCATGTAAATGGGTAGAAGACTCTGTTTGTGCATAAGTATATGGATCCCCAGGGCTCAGCCACCTGCTACATTCAGCCTGAGTGTAAACATTTAGCCTGCTCTAAGAATAGGCGTTTCCCTGGAAGCTTTGCTCACTTGGGGGTTCCCTGGTTCTCTTAACAGCTATAACACCTCCTCACTCCCCCCAAAGCCCCAAGACAATGTCAGGAGAGGCTTTCCACCAGAGAATACATAGTTAACTCTTTTCCAGACCAGGAATTTCTTGGTCCCAAGTCATAACCCTAGTGTGAACAGTTATCCCCTTCAGTCACAGTTTACCCCATATTAGACAACACCTGTACCAAACAAGGATTCCCTAGATGGATAGCAGGAAAATAATGACAATAATACTAAGTAATAATTTCCATTGATATAGTACTTTTAAGGTCTTGAGAACACTTTTCTTATCATTAACCTGTGAGATATGTAGATGTTCTATTACCCCTTATCTATTAGACCCCAAAGTATGTGCCCTGCTTATTATAAACACTCTTCTCTTATGCTCTGAAATGAGTATTATTAACCTGGGGTCCATGAACCCTTTGAAGGTCCATGGATAGATTTCATAGAGTTAGGTGACACAGTGGATAGGTGAGCTGGACTTAGAGTCAAGAAGATCTGAGTTCAAATCTAGCATCTATATACTAGCTATGTATGTAACCCTAGGCAAGTCACTTAACCCCTGCCTCCATTTCCCCACCTGTGAAATGTAGATAAGGATTGTTAGGATCAAATGAGATGATATTTATCAGGTACTTGGCAAACCCTAAATTACTATATAAATGTTATTTGTTGTTATTTCAGGGGGGGGTCTACAAACATGAATAGGAAAGAAATAGCTATTTCATTTTCATTAACTTCTCACTGAAATTTAGGACTTCCTTCACTTACTTAAAAATATTCTTCTGAGAAGGAGTCCTGAGGGTTCACCAGCATGTCAAGGGGCCCCTGCCTTAAAATTACATCACAAGTGTAAACAGCATACAACTTATGATCAGATGTCACTGCTGTTCACCTGGGTTACCCTGGGTTAATTTTGAATTGCAAATAAAATAAAAATCACACTCTACTGCTTATCTCCAAACTGTCTGAGTAGATTCTCAAGAATTAAGCCATTTTATTTTCCCTCTTCATCTAGACATGTAGGTTAACCTACACACATAATGTTTTGGACTTTTTTCAATTTTCTGACTTCCCCAAATCAGGCATTTGGTTATCATGGCATCCTTTCCCTCCCACTCTCCTGAGTGTTTTTTTCGTCCAGCTTTTTTTTCCTAAATCTCCACATTGAGTTTAAACATTCTTTGGTCTCCCATCATCTTCATTCTAGAGAGTCATTAAAGTAATAATATTAGGGTGTCTGACATATCTGATAACTGAAAGTCACCCTTAGGTCTTCCTTTGAGGTTCTAATACACAGGGCCTATCTGTTCAACTAAAGCCAAACTAACCCAGCTTTGGAATTTTATACATATTTTTACCAGTCCCCCATTATTAATATCTGACAGTCTACTTCAGGCTAATTGCACAGTATTAGGAAGTAAAAAAAAATGTCAAGATGTAAATGTATGACCAAAAGCAATTATAATTCTGTAATTTATTATTGTATTGAAACCCACAATATCTGTTTCATTTTTCCTTCTGAATTCTTTTATAGTGATGCTGATTTTTGTTGGTTTTAGGAAATGGTGATTATTATTCCAGTGGGAATGACTTAAGTCAATTTGCAGCAGTTCTACCAGATGAAATTGAAAAGAGAATTAAAGACAGCTCCATGTTACTGAGGTAGGAATGGCATTTACCTGGTTCTAAAAAACTTTTATTTGTTCATCAGAATTGCTCTTTTATGTGTAGAAGTAAAAAAGGTTTTCCTATATGTCTAATAAAAATATTTAGTAGGCAGCAAGCATAGTTCTTGATTTTTTAATTATATTTTTTTATTAAATATTTTTGAATTATTTTAAAAAACTTTTAACATCCACTTTTTAAAATTTTGAGTTCCAAATTCTCTTCCTTCTATTCATGGAGAAGGCAAGCAATATGATATCAGTTATAGATGTGAAGTCATACAAAACATATTTTCCTATTAGCCATGTTGCAAACACATACACATATACACACACACACACACAAAATAAAGTTTAAAAAGTAAAACATAGTTCTTTAAACTGCTCCCATTTATCATTTGATGTTCCTACTTTTTACAATTTTTTAACTATATTTGATGCTGCTGCCTGTGAAAATTTGATTAAGAATCAGTTGACATATGAAATGATTCAAAAAAAAAAAGAACAAGAAAAAGAAAATGGGGACAGCTAAGTGGCACAGTGGATAGAGCATTGGCCTTGGAGTCAGAAGGACCTAAGTTCAAATGTGGCCTCAGACACATAACACTCATTAGCTGTGTGACTCTGGGCAAGTCACTTAACCCCACTTGCCTCACCAAAAAAAAAAAAAGTTTCTACTTCTTGAGGTAACAGACAACAGATTTTAGCAAATGCTCAAGTCATCCAGAGGACTTCATGATTAGAACCACCTCTTCCAATTATAAATTCTTCTGCATAGGTCCCATCATATTTTCATAAAAGTTTTTAATAATAGTATCAATATTGATAATAGTATTGTAATAGTATTAATGCAACTAGTAATCTTGTCTTTTAATAATAGCTTTTGATAACATTTTTTGGTTTGAACATTTCAATGGGAGAAGCAGGGGGTCCATATGTTCCTTCCAGGGTCTTGAATTCCCACTGGTGGGACACCGTAGTATGATATCTAAAAGACCCATACTTGTCTAAAGGGTCACAGTCTCCTTACAGACCATTGGACCAATACTATCTTGATATTAAAATGTTGGAATCTTGAAATTTATGGGATACACACACACACACACACACACACACACACACACACATAATTTTTTTAAAGGCCCAATGTGTCAGAACCTTAAAGGAAGACCTAATCAAGCCTTGCAATATCAGATATGCCAGACACCTTAACATTACCTAGATGACTATCTAAAATGAATATAATGGGAGGCCAAAGAACATTTAAAATGAATGTAGAGATAGATGTAGGCTATTGTACTGGACACTCTTCATCCCATGGTCACAGGGATCTATGAACTCAGGCTTAGAAATATTTCTCCTACATTATATAGTTTCATTATTGATGTTCTGGGGGAAAAATGTAGAAAATTATGTCTATTGTTTTTCTTTCTTTGTCTTTTAGGAAATTTGTTGACCATTTTATAGATTTCCCCAAGCCCCTAGTTGCAGTGGTAAATGGCCCTGCTATAGGAATCCCAGTTACACTTCTTCCTCTATTTGACCTCGTATATGCAACTGACAGGGTAAGTTATCTTTTCATTTCTCTTTTTAAATTATCATTATCGTTAATATAATTTTTTGTAACAACAGTATGGTTACTGAATGAATTGCACAGAATTTTGGTTGCTACATTTAGATTTCCAGAGTCTAAGTCCAACCAAGTATATTAAAAATGACTTTTTGTTTGGAAGAGGGATGATTCCCTTCCCCCCCCTTTTTTTTTTCTGAAAAACAGCTGAATTCTTCTTAGTGAGGCATGCTGGTCAATATATCTGGCAGCCTTATTATTCATTCTTCAGTTTAAGACTGCTTTATAAAAATGTTGCTTAATGATCATACAAGATTTATCATAAAAATTATGAATGAATTAAAAAAATAATCATTTTGGAATCCACTTCTCCCAAGTACACATATCTTAGAACCTTGAGATGTTAGTGCTATAATCAACTTTAAAAGTTATATAATCAAATCAAATGAGAAAAGGGAAAATGGGCATTGGCATAAGCATTCATACAGCACCTATTATGTGCCTGCCCCCTTTTTTTTTTAACAAATATTATCTCATTTGATCCTCATAATGACCCAATGAGGCAGGCAAGACATATATTATTTATTTGTAGCAAACATTTAGATTGTACCTACTACGCACCAGACACTTGCTAAGCACTTTACAAGTATTATCTTATTTGATCCTCACATCAATGAGGTAGGTACTATCATTATTCCCATTTTAAATTTGAGGAAACTGAGACAGAGATGAAGTGACATGCCCAGGTCACACAGCTTGTGTCGGACATCAGATTTGAATTGGGATTTTCCTGACTCTAAGCCCAACACTTATCTACTGCCTCTGATAACATATGTAATGTGATTTGCAGACCCTAAAGCACTAAATGCTAGCTATATTATTATTTTTATTATATATAATAAAACCCTATCATTTTACTGAGAAGGAAACAGTTTCAGAAAGTTTAAGTGGCTTATTGAAATTCACATAGCCGGTGAGAGACTTTATGTTCCCCAAAAGTTCACCTTTCATAAAGGAGTATTTTATTCCTAGATATGTCTAACCTAGGCTAGCATAGAAGACCATAACTAATTTCACGGGCCTAAAACTATTTCCCAAGTAATTTTTTCTCACATTTTTGTAAGTTTTCTCAATTCAATAAATGATCATGATCTATTCATCATTTGGGATATGTTTTGCTTTTCCTAAGGGATGGATTTCTTTTTCTGTGCTGAGTATTCCATCTAGAAAAGATAGTCATGTTTCAGAACACTCAATTACCTCAGTTGTAAAATACCTGGTTATCTCATCACCTGACTCCATTCAACCTGACCCTGTAGAACACATTGTCAGAAATAATGCTTTTAAGCAATCAATCAACAGTTTATTAAATGCTTGCTGTGTGACCAGGTGCCATGCACGCTGGGAATACAAAGAAAAATTTTTAAAAATCTCTGAATTTTCCTGAAAATCAAAAGAGGGATTAATAAAATTGAAAGAGAACCATTGAACTAAGAAATAAAACTAGGGGCTGGTTTTATGAAAAACCAATAAAATAGGTAAACTATTGATTAATTTGATTTAAAAAAAAAGGAAAAAAAGAAAGAAGAAAACCATACTACCAGTATCAAAAATGAAAAGGGTGAATTCACCACTAGTGAAGAGGGAATTAAAGCAATTATTAGGAGTAATTTTGCGCAATTATATGTCAATAATTCTAAAACTCAAGTAAAATAGATGAATGTTTACAAAATATAAGTTGCCCAGATTAACAGAACAGGAAATAGAATACTTAAATAATCCTGTCTTAGGAAAAGAAATTGAATAAGCTATCGATGAGCTCCCTAAGAAAAAATCACCAGGACCAGATGAATTCACAAATGAATTCTACCAGACATTTAAAGAACAATTAATTCCAATACTATTTAAACTATTTGGAAAAATAGGCAAAGAAGAAGTCCTACCAAATTCCTTTTATAACACAAATAAGGTGCTAATATCTAAGCCAGGAAGAGCAAAAACAGAGAAAGAAAACTATAGACCAATTTTTCTAATGAATTTAAATAAAATACTAGCAAGGAGATTACAGCAATATGTCACAAAGATCATACATTATGAGCAAGTGAGATTTATAGCAGGAATGCAGGGCTGGTTCAATAAGAAGAAAGCTATCAGCATAATTGACCATATCAATAAAAAAAAACAATGGAAATCATATATTTGTCTCAATGGATTCAGAAAAGGCTTTTGACTAAATACAACACTCATTCCTATTAAAAACACTAAAAAGTATAGGAATAATACACAGTAGTAAACCACCACAGTAATCTAGTGCTTGATAAATACAAAGATCCAAGCTTTTGGGACAAGAACTCACTATTTGACAAAAACTGCTGGGAAAACTAGAAAGCAGTTTGGCAGAAACTAGACCAATTTCTCACACTATATACCAAGATAAGGTCAAAATGGGCACATGATATAGAAATAAAGGATGATACCATACACAAATTAAGGGAGCATAAAATAGTTTACCTATCAGATCTATGGATAAGGGAAGAATTTATGACCAAACAAGAGAGAGCATTATGGGATATAGAATGGATCATTTTGATTACAGTAAATTAAAAAAATTTTACACTGACAAAATAAATGCAAATAGAATTAGAAAGAAAGCAACAAACTGGGGGAAATTTTTTTCACAGCCAGTTTCTATGATAAAGGCCTCATTTTTCAGATATGTAGAGAACTGAGTCAAATATATAAGAAAGCAAGCCATTCCCTAGTTGATACATGGTCAAAGGATATGAACAGGAAGTTTCAGAAGAAATCAAAGCTATCTATAGTCATGAAAAAATGCTGTAAATCACTATTGATTAGAGAAAAGCAAATTAAAACAACTCTGAGATTCCAGCTCACATCCATCAGATTGACTAATATGACAGAATAGGAAAATTAACAAATACTGGAGGGGATGTGGGAAAATTGGAACACTAATGGACTGTTGGTGGAGTTGTGAACTGATCCAGTCATTCTGGAAAGCAATTTGGAGCTATGCCCAAAGGGCTATAAAACAGTGTGTACTGTCGCAATAAAAATCTGCAAATAAGGGAAACTCAGGTTCAAAGTTCTAAGCACAGGGGCAGCTAAGTGGCACAGTGGATAGAGCACTGGCCCTAGAGTCGAGGATCTGAGTTCAAATCTGCTCAGACCAAATACTTGACATTTACTAGCTGTGTGACCTTGGGCAAGTCACTTAACCCCAATTGCCTTAAAAAAAAAAGTTCTAAGCATAATGATTTATTTGCAAGGCTAGCAGTTGCCAACAAATTTGGTTCATCTGCCTCCTCAGTAGTCAGGGACAAACACAGGGGTTTTACAGAGCGTCTTTTATAGTAGTAAAACAGGATCTGGGAAATTATAGAATCTTGAAAAACTTGTTTGGTTAAAGCAGGCCAATTGACTTGCAGTTGGGCTAGATACATCCAGGAACAGTGCAGATGTAATTTCTCACTTTTGCCAGCATTCGGGATATAGGCATGTTGGGAGTGAAAGGGAGCATTTTGGAGGAGGGACAGCCACCATCTAACTTAATTGGTGAAGATATCATATCAACCTGTCCATCAAGGGAGTTAGTGCTTATTGTCTTTCCTTCTCCAAGAGGACCAAAATGACATCACTATGTTGGGTCAAGGTATGGTGTGTCCAACTGTGGCTGATCAGACCAGTACAAGCTCAGAAAGCTCTACCACAGGTTGGGCACAAATAGTCCATATGAACGTTTGGAGTGAAGATGTCTTTAAATTTGCACATCTCATGTTTCTTTTGAGCTATTGTAGTTCTGCTTTGCTTATGAAGCACAGTGCCTTCTTTGATGTGGGCATGTCGTGCTGGGCAGTCCCATCAAGGGAGTATTGCACTAAGTGAAATATCCTGTTACTATGGAAGGTGTCAAAATGTTAACCGAACACAGAACTAAACACAGAGGGTAACTTAGACTTGAGAAATGAGGAAATGTTTACGCTAGCTCAACTCGGCTGCAGGAACTCAACTCTGCAAAAATGAGGAACTTAGTCTCTGACTATGGCGACTATATACCTCTTAATCTAAAAGCTATCTGAATTAGACCTTACAAGCTAAAATAAATTTTCAGGATAATCAATACTAACTTAATTAGGAATTATTTTTATCAATACCTTTTGACCCAGCAATACCACTATTAGGTCTGTATCCTAAAGAGATTTAAAAAAAAAAAAAGGAAAAGGAAAAGGACCTATATGTATAAATATATTTATAGCAGCTCTCTTTGTGGTGGCAAAGAATTGGTGGTTGAGGAGATGCCCATCAATAGGGGAATGGCTGGTAAGCTGTGGTATGTGATTGTGATGGAATACTATTGTGGTATAAGAAATGGCTATCAGGATGGTGTCAGGAAAAATCTGGGAATACTTATATGAAATGATGCAAAGTGAAGTGAGCAGAACCAATAGAACATTTTACACAGGAACAGCAATATTGTATGATGATCAACCATGAATGAATTAGCTATTCTCAGCAAAACAGTGACTGAAGACAATTCCAAAGGACCTGTGATGAAAAATGCTACCCACTTCCAGAGAAATAATTGATGGAGTCTGAATGCAGATCAAAGCATACTTTTTTTTTCTTGTGTGTGTGTTGGGGAGGATGGGTCTGTGTTTTATTTCACAACATGACTAATATGGAAATATGTTTTGCATGATTGCACATGTATACACACACACACACACACACACACACACACACACACACACACACACACACACATATATATATACATCCTAAATCAAATTATTTGCCTTCTCAAGGAAGGAAGGAAAGGAGAGAATTTGAAACTCAAAATTAAAAAAAAATATGTAAAATTGTCTTTACAATTGGAAAAAAATCCCTGCCCTCATGGGATTTACATTCTGATAGCATAAACAAGACATACACAAATTGGCACATATAAGACAAACACAGAGTAGATGTAAGGTGGTGTTAGGTAGGTGGAACACTGTGCTAGGTGCTAGGGATACAAAGATAAAAAAATCCTGACCTCAGGGTTCTTAAAAGGGGAGAAAGAGAGGGAGAAATAAGTAAAGGGATGAGTAAATATAAGATAATCTGAGAATAATTGCTTGCATTTATAGGGTTTGCAAAGCACTTTACAAATATCATCTCATTGGATCCTTGCAACCACCCTGTGAAGTAGGTACTATTTATTATTCCCATCTTAGAGATGAAGAAACTGAGATAAACAAAGTGACATACACCCAGGGGCCATACACCGAAGTAAATGTCCAGGGTTGGATTTAAAATTATATCTTCCTGACTCCAGGTCCAGGCCTTTATCTACTGCACCACTGAGCAGCTAGATGAGAAGGGAGAAAACACTTCGATTTTGTGAGATTAGCAAAGACTCCCCATAGGAGAGAACACTTAAGCTGATTGGAAGGATCTCAGAGGTGGGGAGGGCATTGTATTCCTGGTGCAGGGGACACGTTATAAGGATACTGAGGTGTGGACTATGAAAAGGCAGAGTTCTGAAGACGTGAAGTTCAACAATTTGACGAGAGCATGAATTACAAAAAAGAGAGTAAGGTGAACGAAAGCTGGCACCAGGTTGTGGGACATTACATCTCCTTAAGGATTAAAAAGTATAGCCACATAGACACTTCTTCTGCCCTGATTTTTACTGTCTTTCCATCGCTATTTTAGGATTCAGGATGAGAAAAAAGTGATTCTGTCAAAGGATTTTGCCCAAATGTATTGTAAACAAAAGCATTCAAGGGAATACCCTCACTGACTGACATAAAAAGAAAGAAACATTATTCAGACAGGCTGCTGTTGATGAGAGGGCACCCCACCTAAGTTAACCCAGGCATCAGCTAATGACTAGGGAAGGAAAAGAAAGAGTTTTAGATTGGGAATCCAGAAGCTTGTGTTCTAAGCAGCTCCACTACTGACTTAATACTTAGTAAATATCTTCACCTTTCTAGGACTCTGTTCCCTCATCTGTATAGTGAAAGGGTTAGACTAGATAAGCTCACAGGACCCTTCCAACCCTGAAATTCTATGCAGCAGGAGTAACATATACAAACTGCAGTACATAGACAGGAAACACTACCCCTCTCCCCAAACTGAGGACCTCACTTTTTATTTTATTGAGAAAATTGACTCACTGTGCCAGGAGCTCCCTCTTCTCCCTTTCTCATCATCTCAGAACTTCTTGACATCACCCCCCACTCTCGCCTCCTTTAATCTGTAATAATGAAGCCTCCCTTCTCCTTGCCCAGGCCAAGCCCTTTTGTATGTGTCCTTGATCCCATCCCCTCCTGTCTTCTCTACCAAATTGCATGTACCCTTAATCATCCCCTCTCATTCTTTAATCTTTTTTTCATTCAAAATATATTTCTATGTTAGCCATGTTGCCCTCCCCCCCCAAAAAGTAAAGGAATTGAAAAAATATGTTTCAATCTGTGCTTAATTCATCAGTTCTCTCTCTGGAAATGGATAACATTTTTCTTTTTTTTTTTCCTTAATCTTTTAAAAATTTATTTCATTAGATATTTCCCAGTGTAAAAAATTTTAACATATTGTTTTTAATTTTGAGTTCTAAATTCTCTCCTTTCCTCCTGGTTCTCCCCCCTCCTTGAGAAGGCAAGTAATTTGATATCAATTACACGTGTGAAATCATGCAAAACATATTTCCAAATTAGCATGTTGCAAAAAAAACAAACAAACACAAGAAAAATAAAGAAAATAAGAAAAGTATGCTTCACTCTATGTTCAGAATTCATCAGTTCTGTCTCCGGAAGTGAATAGCATTTTTTTTGTCATGGGTCCTTTGGATTTATCTTAGATCATTGTCTTGATTAGAATAGCTAAATCTTTCACAGTTGATCATCTTACAACGTTGCTGTTACTGTGTAAAATGTTCTGCTGGTTGCGCTCACTTCACTTTACATCAGTTCTTAAGTCTTCCCAGGTTTTTCTGAAACCATCCTGATTATCGTTTCTTATAATAGCACAGTGGTATTCCATCACAATGACATATCACACTTTGTTCAGCCATTCTTCAAATAATTATCTCCTCAATTTCAAATTCTCTGCCATCACAGAAAGAGCTACTATAAATATAAATGTACATATAGGTCATTTTTCTTTTTTTAATCTCTTTGGGATACAGAGCTAATAGTGGTATTGTTGGGTCAAAGAATTTTATAGCCACTATTTGTAGCCCTTTGGGCATAGTTCCAAATTGCTCTTCAGAGTGATTAGATCAGTTCACAACTCTACCAACAGTGCATTAGTGTACCTATTTTTCCATGTCCCTTCCAGCATTTGTTGTTTTCCTTTTCTGTCATGTTAGCCAATCTGATAGATATAATGTGAGACCTCACAGTTATTTTAATTTGCATTTCTCTAATCAGTAGTGATTTATAATATTTTTCATATGATTATTGATAGCTTTTATTTCTTCTTCTGAAAACTGCCTCTTCATATCCTTTGACCATTTATCAGTTGGGGAACGGCTTTTATTTTTATGAATTAAAACAGTTCCCTATATATTTAAGAAATGAAGCCTTTGTCAGAAAAACTAGCTATAAAATTTTTTCTCAGTTTTCTGATTTCCCTCTAATCCTGGATGCATTAATTTTGTTTGTGTAAAACCTTTTTTGATTTCATGGAATCAAAATCATCTGTTTTACTTCTTGTAATCCTTTCTGTCTCTTGTTTGATTATAAACTCTTTCATTATCCATAGAACTGACAGTCTTATTCTCTAATCTTAACCTTTCTATATCTACTGGTTCCTTCCCTGCTGCTGTCAAACATGCCTAAGTCTTCTCATCCCTAAAAACTTCCATTACACTGTACCATCCACTTCCTATATTGCTCCTCTGTTTCTCAATTTATATCCTAGAAAAAACTGTCTATATTTACATTGTCTCTACTTCCTCTCATTCCTCAATCCTTTGCAATGTGACTTCTGTTTTTTTATCACTCAACTAAAATTGTTCTTTCCAAAGTTATCAGATATCTATTAATTGCCAAATATGAAAATCTTTTCTTAGTCCTTACCCTTTTTGACCTCTTAACACTTTGACACTATTGACCACTTTCTCTACCTAGAACCTCTTTCTTCTTTGTGTTTTCATGACACTACTATCTCTTGGTTCTCCTACCTGTCTGACAGGTCTCTTTTGCCAACTCATCATCCATATAATACCCTCTAACTACGAGTGTTCTTCAAGACTCTGCCTTGGGCCCTCTTCTTTTCTTTGTGCATGCTCTTTCTCTTTCCTTCAAAACCCGTCTTCCAGACTTCCCTATTTCTGTCAAAGGTTCCACCATTCTTTGTTCAGTTTGTTCTATCTTGGAAACTCCATGATTCTGACTCACCTTTCTCTCCATGTGAGCAAAAGGCCTATTTCCCTGCCCCGTCTTTCCTACATATACTAAAAAAGAGTTATATCATAGTAAATATACTCCTCCTCAAAAATCAACCTTTGAAGCCAAGTTCTTCTCCAATGTGTGCCCCATATGCGTCTATTACAATTTTAACAGTAGTATCTATCTAATTGGTATCTATTACTGATCTTTCCATAACTATAGCTGAGATATTCTGTTTATATCTCTCTATTTGCAATTGTGCCTGTTTTATTTAATCAAGGAGCATTTTTTTAAGGTAAGATTTCATTTGAAAAATAAAGGTTTTAAAATGCTCTTAATTTCTTGCTTGCTCCCTAATTCAGCTGTAAATTTTAAAAGCACCTTTGAAAAACATTTAGGGAAAAAATCAGCCTATGTATCTAATCATAATCTGAATGAAACCTAAGCATTCAGTTTAGACTATAATTATTGTAACTTAGTTCCCTTCTGTCTAAAATTCATGAAGACTTTTATTCTTTGTGAAGCACAGAAAAAATTCAAGACCTGAGGAAAATCTAACAATGTCCATGCTTTAGGCAATTTTCAAGTTAACTAAAAGTCCTTTAAAACTAACTGGTTTTCATTTAAAACCAAACTGGGCATGGTGATGGCACACACCTGTAATCCCTGCTATTGGAAAGGCTACAGCAGGTGGTTCTCTTGAGTTCAGGGGTTCTGAGCTATACTAGAGCTGAAGCTATACTAAGGCTGGCACCAATGCTATTAAAGCTGCCCTCTCCCTCCCCAGGAAGCAGGGGGCCACCAGGCTGCCTAAGGAGGGAAAAGCCAGCCCATGTCAGAAGCGGGTCAAAAGCTTGGTGCCAGTCAGCAGAGGGAGCAAGCCCACTACATTTCCAGCCAAGGCAAAGAAGACCTGGTCCTACAAAAATAAAATTAGATGGACAGATAAATAGATGGATGGATAAACAAAGCCAATTGAAAAGCCACAACAAGAGTGTTTTTGTTTGTTTTAACAGGCAACATTTCAGACACCATTTGCTCAGCTGGGCCAGAGTCCAGAGGCATGCTCCTCTTATACCTTTCCAAAGATAATGGGTCCAGTCAAGGTAAAATCATTGACATCTTAATGGGTGGCATGAGGAGAATAAGGCCAATGTGTTACATACCACCTTCTTTTAACATTTTGTTAATTGTTTTAAGTATAAAAGAATATGATATATTATTTTGAAGAGTTATGCAGAACTAGCTTCTTGGGAATGTGGGCATTTGCCTGTTAACCCGTGGGAAGAGTACGTTACTTAACCAGAAGAGAAATTGGTTTGTGGGCAGTAATGATAGCCCACTGAATGTGAGTTGAGCTTTTACATATCTGTTCTTCAGAGTTAATCAGGGTCTTACTCTCTGCTCCACAGGCCAGACAAACTCTGATCAAGTAGGCTGAGTCCCAGGGTGTCAGACCATCTAGAGGGACAGTTTTAGATACTGAGGAATAGAGGCAGTCTATGACAGCATGTTACTAAATAGGTTTTATTGAGGAAGCTTACTTAACAAGGCTGGGCCTGGGTGGCAACCAGTCCTAGCCAGATGTCATAGAGGAACAGAACAAGAAAGACTTGGTGTCAAAAGATGGTCCATGGTCACATAAGTGGTTATGTAAGTTTTACAAGGGCAGTTCCATAATAGAGCTGTGTTACTATTATATAACCGTGATACCAAGATGTAAAATATACTGAAGTCATGTCCTTGTTTCCCAGTCACACACATGGTGTTGTCTCTTCTGTGGGGAAGGGCTCCTGAGAGCTGTTGGTATTTTTTATGAGATTTTTTGGGGTAGAAATTAGGCAGGCAGTGAAGATCAAGCTTAGTATTTGCCCATCCCTGCTTCTCACCCATATCTCTCTTTCCCAAGAGGTGCAGATTACACCAAGCAAATGTCCCAGTGCCCACAGAGAATAAATCAGCCACTGACTATCAGATGCTTATGTTTATTTCATCAAGCTAATATCTTCACCTTGCTTTTCAATTTAGGCAGTTGAGATGCTTATTTTTGGAAAGAAGTTGACAGCCCGAGAAGCTTATGCTCAAGGACTTGTTACTGAGGTTTTTCCTGATAGCACTTTTCAGAAAGAAGTTTGGACCAGGTTGAAGGCATACTCGCGACTGCCCGCACAGGTAAGTGCTCATGTTTTCACATATATAGGTCTGTGGAAATAACTTTCTGAAAAAGGAGGAAATTCTCCTTAAAAAGAAACAAGTAGGAAGACATGCTTGGAATGGCATCTTGGTATCTAAATTTTTTAATTTTAGAAATCTTGATATGTGATATTTGCCTTTGAAAGTCCTACCTTTGGTCATTCAAATACTGTACTGAAGCCAATGACTCACAATATATTTTTCAGAAAACCTAAAACCACAGTCTTTTGACATAGAAGCTCTTAGGGTGAGAAAGACCTCAAGCAAAACATGAAACATTTCATTTTCTTTGCATAAAATATGCAGTCGACATTTGTTATTTTAGTGACATAAATGGAGAGAGATTTGAGGGGAGTAGAGAGTCACTCTGTGACATTACGCTTAGGGTTGTGCTACAACTCTAAAGGCAGTTTCCACTTTTTTTAAAATTTTGATTTAAAGGGCCTCCACATGCCATTTAATGCTGTGCATAATTATTTTTCTATAACAGTAAAATCTCGTCTTAGGAAAGAAGGTCACGTAACACATTTTAGATATTCGGAGAAGTAAAAAGTAGACTTGACTTTGTAAAGTACGTTGTAGTACTTTGTAATACATTGACTAAGATTTTTTATTCATTAATTCATTTTGCTGACCATTCAATAATTTAAAAAATTTTATCTACTTTTTTCAATTAAGAAAACAAAATCTATTTTCTCTCCCTCTCACTTCTTCCATTGAAAAAAACAAACAAACCCAAAAACAAAACCCTTAAGACAAATCTACATAGTCAAGCAAAACAAATTTCCGTTATTGTCCACATCCTAAAAATAGATGTCTCTGTACACTGAGACCATTACCTCTCTGTCAGGACATGGGTAACATGCTTCACCATCAGTTTCTGGAATCATGGTTTGTTATTAAATTGATCAGAATTCTTTCAAAGTTATTTTTCTTTCTTGTGTTGATGATAATTATATAAATTATCCTCCTGGTTTTGTTCAGTTACTCTCATCAGTTCATACAAGTCTTCTCAGGTTTTTCTAAGATCTTTTCTCTCTTTTCTTATGGCATAATAGTATTCCATTACATTCATATATTTTACTTGCTCATTCCCCAGTGGATAAGCAGCCCCTTTATTTTTACTTATTTGCTACTAGGTGAAGTCTGAGTTTTTAAAAAAAAATCCTTTTCCTTCCTTTCTCCACCTTAGCTTCTAGTAAGTTTACTCCAGTTCAGCAAAATGAAGAAAACCATGTTTACCTTGAGTCATTTGCAAAGCAATTAATAGACTCAAATTTTTCCATCAGAGTAGCCCTGGGGTCTTGGAAAATTATCGAAATGTTATGTGAGCATGTGTATAAGCAGGAGCAGGAATGTGATACAGGGGCCTTCTCAGACTGTTCAGCCTCATTGATTTATCATAAATGGAGTTGGGGGAAGGCCATAGAGATGATGCATGGGGGCCAGAAGGCATATCCTATGAGAAAGTAAACAAGAGACAAAAGGGCTGCCATTGGTGATGTCTAAGCAGATAATGCAAGTACCTAAAGTGACAGCCTTGTAGATTTGTGAACTGTACCAGTTGCTTCTTTAATATGGTAGCTAAATCGCTCATTGTGCATTTATACAACCCTGTGTCTAAAGGTTTCATAGAATGAGGTGTTGGAGCATACAAGTGGGGGAAAAAACAACTCTGAAATAGCACTTAAAACATGCTGCCTTTTATTACAGTAATTATATCTGTATATGTGTGTGTGTGTGTGTGTGTGTGTGTGTATATGTGTGTGTATGATTTCTCTAATTAGATCACCAGGCCCTTGTGGGCAGAGACCGTACCTGGTATTTCTTTATGTCCTTCATGGCATTTGGCCCAGGACCGTGCAACATAATGGCGTTCAACAAGTAATTTTTTTTCTGAATGAATGAGTGAAGGATGGAATAATCTTATATTTGTAATCCTTTTACCTTCATTTTTCTACAGACTGTGATGGCTTCAAAACAGTTGCTTCGAGGTTTTGAAAAAGAGACACTGCACAGAGTTAATTTTGAAGAATGTACTTTACTTTGTGAAAGATGGCACTCTGATGACTGTATAAATGCCATTATAAACTTCATGAATAGAAAGTCAAAACTCTGATGGTTTTGAAAATGAAGATCAAACATTTTTGAAGCCATAATTAATTTCCTCTTGTTTAATACACATGGGCTAAAACCAGGGTGCCTTTTGCCATTATTGATAACTGTATTTCACTGTGGACCCACATAATTATATTAAGTGAGTGTTAGGGCTCCAGTAAAACTGTTTTCTGTAATTGTTTATATTTCTTATTTTTTGCCATGAATTTATGGTACCAATAACACTGTAGTCTTCTGCTTGGAATATCAGCAGGAAAAGCAGACACTGCTCTACAAGCCGAAATAATGTTCTCATATATGATTAGAGCACTATGTTGTCCCACAGTAGTGACTGATTCAATAGGGCCAAATACTAACAGCTCTTCAGTAACCGAGTTTTGATTCATTGATGGTTTCATATTTCTTTCCAGCCATCTAACATAAGAATAAAAGGAGAAATTGACATTACCAAAAAAGAAAAATTAACTTAGTTACAATCATTCACTGTAATAAAGAGAATAAAAGAAAAACTGGTCTCTGTGGTTAATAACTGTTACCTTATGGGGCAGCTAGGTGGCACAGTGGATAGAGCACTGGCCCTGAAGTTAAGAGGACCTGAGTTCAAATCCAGCCTCAGGCACATAACGCTTAACTAGCTATATGACTCTAGGCAAGTCACTTAACCCCATTGCCTAGCAGGAAAAAAAAAGAAAGAAAATAAAAGAGAAATCACAGATCAAAAGGGAGCCTACAGTTCTGTTCCTCAGAAGCAGCAAAGTTTCCCAGTTGACTGATGGTGGTCAAGTCTAGCAGCAGTCCACCATTGCTCAGACTTGAAGCCAGGTCATGAATTTATAGAGCTTGGACCAGAAGGGCAGTGAACAGACTTTGTCCTGGATCTGACCGCCTTGGGAACACCGAAAGTTTTCTCTGAGATCCTAGAATAACACAATGTTCAATACTCCAAGAAGGCAGCAACAAAAACCAGCTCAGATCTTGCCTCCAGAAGTAGGCAAGAATTAAACCTAATATATACAGTGCAGAAGTAGGCTAGAAGAATGAACAAGAAAAAAAAATCCCTCCATAAACAGCTATTATGGTGACAGGTATGCTTAAGACAAAAAATCCAGAAGAGATAACTGCAAGCCAACTACAAGCAAAACCTCGAAGAAAAACACAGCTTGGCCACGACTCCAACCAGAATTCCTGGAAGAGATAGAACAAGAGTTTTTTTAAAGAGTTCCAAAAAAATTTTTTTTTATAAATGAGAGGACTGGAAGGGAGAAATAGAAAAGAAATGAGAGTTATGGAAGAACTAGAAAGGGAATTAACAGCTTGGCATAAGAGATTAAAAAAAAAACCCTTGCTCAAGCAACAAACTTCCTGAAAATGGAATGAACCAAATGGAAGCCAGTAACTGAGGCAACAAGAAATATTAAAACAAAGTCAAAAGACTGGGAAAATAGGAGATAATAAGATATCTCATAGCAAAAACAGCTAACTTGGAAAACAGATGGAAGAGAACATAATTTTAGAAACATTGGACTACGTGAACACTATGACCAAAACAATAAAAACAACAACAAAAAAAACCCCTAGACATCATGTTTCAAGAAATCTTAAAAGAAAATTGCCCATATAACTTAGTTCCCCAACATACCTCCTTCACAAAGATCTACAAAATGTACCAGACCACATTCTCATTAAGAAATTCAGAAAAACAAAAAGTGAGTCATATTTATGTCTTGCTGGGTACAGGGATGAAGCCAAGCATACAGCATTCTGGCAAATGAAAAAGGGCCAAGGCTGTGCAGCAGGGCAAGAAGAGGTCCTTGACTTTGTGCAGGTTGCAGGAACAGGTGCCAACTAGCAATTCTATCATGCACTACCCAATTCCAAGTAAAAGATCCAGATCAGGAGAGACCTGTACCTAGAAATGGTTTCCAGAGCAATTTAGTCAATAAGCATTTATCAGGCACCTACTGTGTGACAGACACTGTGTCAAGCACTGGAGGCAAAAAGAAAGGAGAAAGACCGTCCTTGGCACAAGGAGCTAACAATTTAATGCTAAGAAGTAGTCACTGGTCCAGGCTGTGTAATGAGCTATAAACAAGCATAGAAGCAAGCATAGCTGAGTGACTGTGACCCCAGGAGCTAAGCAGAGTCCCATTTCCTGCCTCCAGCCTATTTGAAGCCTGCAGGGGACTAGTCAGAGTAGGAATCCCAGAACAAAGAGGAGTCTACAGTTCTGTCATATTGAACCTGCAGAGCTTTCCAGCTGAGCCCCATAGTCACCTACTGAAACTACAGATGGCAAGATCTGTTGCTCAGACCCAAATCCAGGTCAGGAACTTGCAGAGCTCAGACCAGGAGGGCAGTGATCAGACTTTACCCTGAATCAGACCACTTTGGGAGCATTGAAAGGTGCCTGAATTGTCCTTGAGATGCTAAAAAAACACAACACTCAATATTCCAAGAAAGCAGCAGAAGGACCAAGATGGCAAAAGCCAAGTGCAGACATTCGTCTCTAAAATAAACCTTAATATAAAGTCTGACGTTAGGAAGTAGTCTGAAAGAATGAACAAACAAACAAAAAAGAGTATTATTTTGATGGAGATCTTCTAGACACAAACCCAGAAGAAAAGAATGTCTTCAAAATGTCTACAAGCAAAGCCACAGAAAAACATAGTTTGGTCACAAGTCTAACAAGAATTCCTTGAAAAGGTGAAATAGGAATTGTTTGGGTTTTTTTTACAAGCTTAAAATGATTTTTTAAATGAAATGAAGGAAGGAAATGAGGAAAATGAGGAGGAAAAAAATGAGAAAATAAATTAGAGCTGTGGAAGAAGATTTGGAAAGAGAATCAACAACTTGGAACAAGAGGTACCTTACCCAAAAAATAAACTCCCTGAAAATTAGAATTGATCACATAGAAGCCAATGACTCCATGAGACACCAGGAAATACTAAAAGAAAGTCGAAAAGACTGAAAAAACAAAGTAGAAGAAAATGGAAGGTATCTCATAGCAAAAAACAACTGACCTGGAAAAGAGACAAGAAGAAATCATTTAAAAATCACTGGATTGTGTGAAAGCTGTGACCAAAAAAAAGAGCTTACTCATCAAGGAAAAAAAAAAAGAATTTGTATTTCAAGGAATCATAAAACTTTCCAGATCTCTTAGAACCAGAAGGTAAAATAGAAATATAAAGAAATGACCTGAAAGAAACCCCAAAATGAAAACTCCCAGAAATATTAGAGGCAAAATTCAGAGTGCTTCCAGGTTAAAGGAAAAATACTGCAAGCAGTCAGAAAGAGAGAATTCACATACTGAGAAGCCACAGTCAGGATCACACAGGATTTAGCAGTCACCACTATAAAACAGCAGAGGTTTTAGACAGGGGTGGGGAAGTTTTAAAGAACAAATCCTTCTATTTAGGGGATTTGTTCTGTGAAGTTTGGATTCAGTCAAAGGGCTGCACTTGAGGACCTAAAAGGCCACATGTGGCCTCGAGGCATACAAAGAAAGGCAAAAACAATCTCTGGTCTCAGGGAGTTCATAACCTAAGAGGGAAGGCAACTTGCAAACAACTATGTACAAACCAGATGCAGCTGGGGAAGTTAGAGACAATTCCAAAGGTAAGCACTAAGACTAAAGAGGCCTGAAAAAAAGGCTTCTTGCAGAAGGTGGGATTTTATGCTAAGACATAAAAGAAGTCAGGGAAGCCAAGAGTTGGGAATAAGGAGATAAAGAAGACCGGGCATGGGGAACAGTGAAAATGTTGAGTCAAAAGATGGAGTGTGCTGTCTGAGGAATGACAAGGAGACCTGTGTTACTGAATCTAAGATTATGTGAAGGGTAATTAGGTGTCAAGAAAACTGAAAATATAAGAAAGGGCCCCATTGTGCAGGGCTTTAAAAGCCAAACATAGGATCTTATGACCTTGGAGGTAAAAGGGAGAGATTGGATGTTATTGAAGAGTGAGTGGGGTTGATACAGTCAGATCTGCACTTTGGGAAGATCACTTTGGCAGCTGATTGGATAATGGGCAGGAATAGAGAAAGACTTGAATCAGGGAGACCAGTCAGAAGGCTATTGCAATAGGTGTGAGTTGATGAGGTCCTGCACCAGGATGGTGGCAGTGTCAGAAGAGCGAAGGGGACATATGCACATGTAGTGAAGTTAGAATTGACAGTACCAGCTACCTGATTAGATATGGGAGGTGACAGAGATTGAAGAGTCAAGGGTGACACCTAGGTTGTAAACCTAAGTTACTAGGAGGATGGTGGTACACTTGATAATAATTGGGAAGTCAGGAAGAAGGGAAAGTTTTGGGGTAAAGTTAAGTTCAGTTTTGAAATGTGGAGCTTAAGATCTCTATGGGACATACAGTTTGAGATGTTTAATCGACAGCTGGAGATGGGAGAAAGGAGGTCAGGAGAGAGGTTAGGGCTGAATAAATCTGAGAATAACCTGCATAGAGATAATTGGATATATGATAGCTGATGACATCATCAAATGAAATAAGATAGAAGAGAAGGGAGCACAGATTACCATAGAAAGTGGTAATGACCTGGAGGAAGATCCAGCAAAGGAGATTAAGGAGTGGTCAGATAGCTAGAAGAACCAGAAGAAAAGAGTGTCCCAAAACCTAGAGAGAAGAGAGCATTAAGGAGAACACAATGATTGACAGTGTCAAGAGCTGTGGAGTCGCAAGTCAAGGAGAATGAGGATTGAGAAATGGCCATTAAACTAGGCAATTATATCATTGGCAGACTTGGAAAGAGCAGTTTCAGGTGAATAACAATATTGGATGCCACACTGTAGAGTTAAGAAGACAGTGAGATGAAAGGAAATGGAAGCTCTGATAGTAGACTTCACAAGGAATTTTGCCATGAAAGAGAAGAGATAGATACAGCTTGATAGCTGGTTCAGATTGGTTAGAGAACACATAAGAGTGTTTGTAGCCAATATGGAAGCAGCCAGTGGACAGGGAGAGACTGGAGATTAATGAGAAAGTAGAGATGATAGAGAGGGCAATCTGGTGGAGAAGAAAGGAAAAGATAGGATCAAAAGCACAAACAGAGGGGATTGGCCTTGGCAAGAAGAAGAGTTATCTCTTCCTATGAGACAAGAGTAAAGAAAGAAATAGTAACAGAAGACATCTGAGTGATGTAAAGTAAGAAGAAAGTGAGGATAAATAAGAAGGAGCTCTTGGAGAATGGCCATGATTTTT